AGCTCCACCGAAGGCCCAATGGGCAGGGTTCGCATGCAGTTCCACCCTCATGTCGGCGCATCCCTCACAGGGTTCGTGGCCCCATAGGGAGCTCCATCGAATGCCCCAGTGGCAGGGTTCGCATGCAGTTCCACGCTCATTTCGGCGCACCACTCACGCGGTTCGTGGCCCCAAAGGGGCTGCACCGAAGACGATATTCACAATTGCGGCACCCACAATTGCATGTGGTTGGCTCCTTCGCCACGCTATTTTTTTGACAGGGATGGTGGGGGGGGCCGTCCGGGTTGGCCGCGGGCCGGGTGGAGGAGGGGGGTCATTTGAGGGAGTTGATGTGGAATTCACGCGAGAACGTCGCCTCCCAACGCGCCGCCAGGACACATTTCCGGCGCTGAACCGGGCGTGCCGGGCGCGCCGGGAGAATCGGGATCTGGCGCCCTCGCGTGGGACATCCTCAGAAGAACCGCCCCCGGAGCCTTCCCAAGGATGCCCCCCTTGTTCCGTTTTTGGCGAGGTCCGGGAAATCGAGCAAATCCGGCGAAGAATTCCAAACTGGCGCCTTCGCGTGGGACATGCTCAGAAAAACGGCCCACGGAGCCTCCCCAAGGAGGCCCTCAGAGGCCCCCCTGTCCAGCGAGATCCCGGAAATCGGGCGAATCCGGCGAAGACGGCGAAGAATTCCAACCGGCGCCCTCGCGCCTCTCGTGGGACATCCTCAGAAGAACCGCCCCCAGAGCTTCCCAAGGAGGCCCTCAGAGGAACCTGTTCCGAGTCCCGCGAGATCCAGGAAATTCGGCGAATCTGGCGACGAATTCCAAGCCGGCGCCCTCGCCCATCCTTTCCCGGGAGGCCCTCACGGGACCCCCTGTTCCGTTTGTGGGGGATTCCGTGAAATCCGGCGAATCCGGCGAAGAATTCCAAACCAGCGCCCTCGCGTGGGACATCCTCAGAAAAACCGCTCCCGTTTCTGGCGAGATCCAGGAAATCGGGTGACATCTGGAAATCCAGCGAATCCGTCGACGAATTCCAAACTGGCGCCCTCGTGTGGAACATCCTCAGAAAAACCGTCCCTGGAGCCTCCCCGAGGAGGCCCTCAGAGGCCCCCCTGTTCCGTTTCTGGCGAGATCCGGCGAATCTGGCGACGAATTCCAAACGGGCGGCCTCGCGTGGGACACCCCCACAAGAGGCCATTTCTTTATTGCTTGGGGCATGACGCGCGTCATGGCCCCCGCTGCCCCCCCCCCCATGACGTAACGCTCCCCCGCCCCAGTGCGCTCCGGGCACTGCCGCCGTGCGCATTGGGATCCGCGTAGGTGTCCGCGCAGGAATCCGCATAGGTGTCTGGTCCGCAGGCGTCGTCGTCGTCGTCGTCGTCGTCGTCGTCGTCGTCGTCGTCGTCGTCGTTCGTCGTCGTCGCTCGTGGTTCGTCGCTCGTCGCTCATCGTCGTCGTGCGCGCGGACGCGGCTGGAGCCTTTTTTTTAAGTCCGGGCCGATGACGGCAATCATCTGGGGGGGGAGGGGGTCGATGACGTCACGTTTCGCGCCGGCGGCGTTTGGGAATGGTTAGGCATGACGGAGGACGGGTAGCACGAACATGTAGGTGGCGATATGCACCACAACGCCCGTGTACATCACAGTGCCCGCGTGCACCACAGCGCCTGTGTCCACCACGCCGCCGATATACACCACAGCAGCCGCGTGCAACACAGCGTCAGTTTGTGCCACCGTGCCTGCGGGCACACCAACTCCTGTGTACACCACAGCGCCTCCGTACACCACATCAGCCGTGCACAACACAGCACCAGTGTCCATCAATGCTTGCGTGCATTGCAGTGCCTGTGTACGCCACGGCGCCAGTATGCACCATATAAGCCGTGTGCAACACAGCACCATTGTTGTGTACAGAATTTCAGGAAGAATCCTTGTGACAACATGGAACGCGTGTGGATTCCAGAGAAAACAATGGAAAACAAATCCTCATGGACAAAGGAGCGCCGCTGGAATCTACGAGTCCCCTCGAGTCCGCTCGCATCACCCTAAGTCCCAGTTGCGTCCAGGAGGTTCCAGCTAAACTAGCCGTCCGAGAACCAAGTGGCCCGATTCAATCGACCATTCTGCGGTGCACGCTGAGATGCGCACGTGCGTTGTACCGCCAAGCCGCACGACAGGGGGTAAAAAGGAGGACGAGGAGGAGGAGGGGGAGGAGGAGGTGGAGGAGGAGGGAGGAGAGAAAAACGTCGCACTCGATTATCAGAACTTTCCTGGCGTGGCGTTTAGTTGTCCGCATTAGATCCTGACGTACATGCTCCTTCTACGTGTCCTATGCACGCAGGCATTGTGGTGTACACCAGCGCTGCGTTGCACGCGGATGCTGTGGTGTAGACAGGCGCTGTGGCGTGCGCAGGCGCTGCGGTGCACGCAAGCACTGTGGTGTACACAGGCGTTGTGTTGCACATGGCTGCTGCGGTGTATGTACACCGGCGCTGTAGTGCTCCCAAGTATTGTGGTATACACGGGCGGTGCGTTGCATACGGCTGTTGCGGTGTACGCAGGCGCTGTGGTGCACACGCGCGGTGTGGTGCACGCGAGCGTTGTGGTGTACACAGGCGCAATGGGCAGATCGCCACTTACATGCTGCTCGCGTCGTCGTCGCTCGTCGCTCGTCGCTCGTCGCGTCGTGCGCGCGGGCGCGGCTGTGGTGCCGGAACCACACGGCGGGGGGGGGCGTCACGTCATTCCCCCCCCCCCCATGACGCCCGTCATCGCCGAACATAAAGAAACGCCTTACAAAAATCCGCAACCTGTTCCGTTTCCGGCGAGGTCCGGGAAATTTCCGGAGGAGGAGGGGGGACGAGGAGGAACAGGAGGAGAGGGAGGAGTAGGACGAGGTGGAGGAGGACAAGGGGAGTTGGAGGAGGCAGAGGAGGAGGAGGAGGAGGAGGAGGAGGAGAAGAAGGAGGAGGAGGATGCCAGCATGGCAGCGGGGGGCGCCACGCCCGCCCGATCCTCACCCTCCTGATTTTCATTCTCGTCATCCTCGCTCTCCCGGCCCTCCTCCACATCCTCACCCTCCTGCTCCACGCTCGCCTGATCCTCACCCGCGTGAGCCTCACTCTCCTGATCCTCCCCCTCGCGAGCATCGCCCTCCTGATGCTCACGCTCATTTGCATCTGGATTCGCCGAGAAGCGCACGCCCCCTGTTCTATATACAGAAACTCCCGATCAACCGCAGAGCGGCCGGCTAGTAATAAGGAGCAGTGATCTAGACACATTTCTAGATAGCAAGCCGTCTAGCTCTCTCCCGCCCGCCCTCCCAACACACAAGTAACACCCCAGCCCTAGCATGTTCAGCGCTTGTCTTTGGATGGACAGCTGGTGGAAACCAAAACCGACCCCATGTGCGCGACGCTGGGGCCCGAACGTGCCAAGCATGTCTGGTGCACCCGATGCGCCGCGTGTTCCCACGTGCGTCAGGTGTGCTGCATACTCTAGTCGCGCCAGGTGCGCAACTTTCGGGGCACGTGCAGATTGTGTCAGGTGCGCCTGCGCGCGTGACCGCACACATCGGGAACACATGTCGGGCCCCACCATCCTTGTCGAAAAGCCATGCCATCATTGTGTCTGGTGTGCCCGCGCACAGCAGGCCATGCGCCACAACCCCCGCCGTTCCCGTCAAAAAGCATGTCATATTGATCGCGGGGTGGCTGCGCATGATCCGTAATCATCCGCGAGGTGTATTTTGTATTGCTTTTTTGATAGGGATGATGGCCCTGCGCACAGCAGACAATATGCCGACAACCCCGCCGTCCCTGTCAAAAACATACGAAGTGTTCGCGGGCCTCACGAGCATGGTTCTGGAATTTGCCCCAAGGTGTACTTGTGTTGTTCTTTGACAGGGATGATGGTGGGGGCGTGGGTGCCGCATCGCGCATGCTCCGAATGTGGAGGCAAAGTGCGATTTGTATTGTTCTTTGACAGGGATGGTGGTATGGGGGTGAACGTGGTGTCCTCCTTGTTCCTGGTTGGCTGCTGGTCGCCTGGGGGAGGGGGTGTACATTAATAGGGAAAAGTGATCAACCTTTCCCTCGAGCAGGGGACGGATGGGTTGTGGCAGGGAAAGCCGTTAGACCTTTCAGCCCAGAGTGCTGGTGGGACTCGGATGATGAGGATGATGAGCAGGAGGCCGACGAAGGAGGATGAGAAGGAGGAGGAACAGGAGGAGGAGGAAGAGGAGGAGGAGGAGGAGGAGGACCAACTGGGGGGGAGGAAAAAGAGGAGGAGGAGGAGGAGGAGGAGGGAACGGAGGAGGAGGCGAAGGAGGAAGAGGAGTTGAGGAGAAGGAGGAGGAGGAGGGCGATGGCGAAGATGAGCACGACGACGACGACTAACTACGACGACGACTACGATGACGACGACGACGAGCACACGACGACGACGACGAGGAGCACGACGACGACAACGACGTGCACGACGACGACGACGAGCACGACGATGACGAGCACGACGACGACGACGACGAGCGCGACGACGAAGAGGACTACGACGACGAGGAACACGACGACAAGGAGCACGACTACGTTGACGAGCCCGAGCATGACGACGGCGACTACTCACGCCACGACGAGCACGACGACGATGACGAGGATCACAACTACGAGGAGCACGACGACGATGACGACGACGACGAGCACGACGACGGCGACGAGCACGACGACGACGACGACCAGGAAGGAGCACGACGACGACGAGCACGACGACGACGACGACGACTAGGAACACGACGACGACGAACATGACGACGAGGAGCATGACGACCACGGCGAGCATGAGCGCCTAGCACGAGCACGACAATGACGGCGACGGCGACGACGACGACGCCGCCGACGACGAAGGCGACGACGACGACGACGACGAAGGCGACGACGACGACGACGACGGCAGCGGCGGCGACGATGACGGCGGTGACCACGACGACGACGACGACGACGCCCCTCGCCACGAGGCGTTCTTGCCGTCTTCCTCGGGCGGCCGCCTGATCGTGCCCCCCCCGCCGGCGGAGGGAGGTTTTTTTTTCCCACCTCCTCCTCCTCTCTCCTCCCTCCTCCCCGCCTCCCCCTCGTCCACTCCCCGCCCCCCTTCTCTTTCCTGTTTAGTTGTCCTCTCTCTCGTCGAGACCTCGCGGGCCTTACGGAGCTTTGAACCGCGCAACTGTCGCCGCTTTCGTGGGCTCCTGAGAGGTCCAGCGGAGTGGAGGTCCACGCGGACCTGCCGAGACCTCGCGGTTCCCTGCGGGGTTGCGAACCGCGCAACTGTCGCCGCTTTTGTGGGTTCCTGGGAGGTCCAGCGGAGTGGAAGTCCACGCGGACCTGCCGAGACCTCGCGGCTTTCAGGGAGGCTGCGAACCGCGCAACCGTCGCCACTTTCGTGGGCTCTTGGGAGGTGTGCGGAGTAGAGGTCCTCGCGGATCCATCCCAGATTGCGGTTCCCTGGGGGGCTGCGAAGTGCCTTTCTTTCATCACGTTCGGTCGCAATGAGCGGTCCTCAATATAGTTGCCCCGTGTTAGAACAGGGTTGAGAACGGCAGGGGAATTCTCTATTCGCGGACGCATGTCATTGCCGTCTTGGAATTCCATAAAGATCACATTGTCTTCTGCGCAGTTGGAGACGGTAAACTTGTGGGACCTGTGCGAACTGCGGGGCCTGTGTTTCTTGTGGGGCCCATGAGACCTGCGACACTCGTGAGACCCGTGGAACCCGTGGGACTCTCGAGATCTCTGTGACACTTGTGGTGCCTGCGAGAGCTGTTGGACCCGTGGCACCAGCGGGACATGCGGGACCTGAGAGACCTGCGGGTTCTGTCAGATGGACCTGTGGGGCATGCGAGGACTGCGACACTTGTGCGACTTGTGGGACATGTGAAATGTGTCAGACCGGTGCGACCTGTGGGACCTGTTGGGCGACCTGTGACACTTGTGGCTCCTGTGGGACCTGTAGGACCCGTGGTGCCCGCGAGACCTGCGAGACCTGTGGGATCCAGAAAAGAGGCCCACGCTGGGGCGGGAGCGCCATTCCGAACAACGGACTCACAGCGCTGATCGGAAAATGAGGCCCACGCTACAGCGAGAGCACCATTCTCGAAGATTACCGGCTTGTAGAGCAAACGCCATCTGAAAATCACGCTTGCACAAATCTTTTATGTTAAAGGACAGGACGCGGAGGGATCGAATCAGAAACAAAAGACAAGCTCCTTCGCGCAAAACATGTGTGTCAATCGCTAGGGGGGGGGGGGGCGGAAGTAGTACTCAAATTGTAATTTTGGAGCTGCGGGGGGGGAGGGGGAGGGGAATGGCGAGGGGGAGGAGGAGGGAGGGGAGGGTGAGGGGGAGGGAGGGAGGGGGAGGGAGGGAGGGGGGAGGGGGATCAGGATGCAGATCGACGCTCTGTGTGTGTGTGTGTGTGTGTGTTGGCCCTTGTTGGGCGTCTGGAGGCCCCCGGGTTCCTCGAGGCTTTCAGGGACCCGCGGATGCGTCTGGGGAAGGCCTCTGAGGACCTCCGGGAGCCCAGACCCCAAGCGGCTCGGATAGCACGCCAGATGTTTTTTTCGCCATTTCTGCCGTGCACTTCCAGGTCTCGGGCTCGTTAGCATGGACTGGGAAAGGGGTGTTCGGTATCAAATCGCGGGGGCCCGTGTACCCTCGCAATTTCGTCTTGAGAAAGTATTTGCGTCGGTCGGAATTTGGTAATAGAGTAGATAGCGCCAATTCAGCTGTCGATTAACGTCGAATAGTGTCGGTTCGCAAGAGCCAACAAGATGGTATAGGAGGCTCCCCTGAATTGACGCAGAAGGGGTTCAAGAGTTCTGAGCCTCACGGCTTTCTAGGCCTGGGGAGTGGTGGAGTTCGGCGGCGTGCAGAAGAGGCACATGTGGCCCTCCAGGAATACGAGGGGGCTTCTTGGACGCCCTTGGCTTGGCAGGTTCGGCGAAGGAGGAAGTGTCAGCCTGACACTGCAAAAGTGAATAGTCGTGCTTATCGTCCAGCTTCATTGTTTGACGTGCTTCTTGTCTGGATGCATTCGCGTAATTTGGTCAAGGGTCGAGAAATGGAGGGCTTGACGAATGAAGGAACGGAAACGGCGGATGAAGCGAGAAGTAAAGGAGTATTGGGGTGGCGGCGTGGAGTGTGAACTGGAGGATGAGGAGGATGGAGGGGGAAAGAGGAGGGGGAGGAGGAGGAGGAGAAGGTGGAGGATGATAATGAGGAGCTGGTGATGCTGATGAAGATCATCATAATGGTGGTGGTGACAATGATGATGGTGCTGCTGATGATGATGGTGGTGGTGACGATAACGATGACGATGACGATGACGATGACGATGACGATGACAATGATGATGATTATGATGATGATGATGCGGATGATGATGATGATGATGATGATGATGATGATGATGATGATGATGATGATGATGATGATGATGATGTTGATGCGGATGATGATGATGACGATGATGATGATGATGCTGATGCCGATGATGATGATGATGATGATGATGACGATGATGATGCTGATGGTGATGCTGCTGCTGCTGCTGCTGCTGCTGATGATGATGATGATGATGATGATGATGATGATGATGATGATGATGATGGTGGTGGTGGTGGTGGTGGTGGTGGTAATGATGAGCAATAGGAGGAGGATGAGGAGGAGGGGTGGAGGAGGAGCGAGTGGCAGGAGGAGCAGGACTTACGACTGATCACGTGTGAGGGATGATGAAAATGGGAGAAGGGACGGATAAGTGGGGGATGCCATGGTAACAACGGGGAGGATTAGGGACAGAGGAAGGGTTAAGGAGTAACGAGGAACGACGGAGGAAAAGGAGGAACATGGGATGAGGAGGAAATTGAAAAGAGAGGGATAAGCGTGCAAGGAGGACGGAGGAATTGGACGGATCGGCCTAGGTATGCTCGGAACCCTCCATTTCTTTGCTTAATTACAAGTTCTGACGCTTTGCGTATACCTACCAGCCCATCCGGAAACATTGCCCAGAAGGGTTGCCTTAATCAGGGAAGTGTAGGAGGACACAGTTGAACAAAGAGGAGGGCAACCAGCAAGCCGCAGCTCGGGATCAGCCTGAGCAGACCGAAGAGGCAGGCGTGAATGCCTTCGCAGATCTTCCGATCTATGAGCCGCTTGGAAGCTCATTTAGACAGTCTTGAGACCCTCTCGGGGCAATGTCGGAGGCCTTTTCGGTTCTCTTGGGGCCTTTTCATTGGGCCGATCTATGACGCCATGGATCGGGTGTTGCGAGAAGTGCGCATGGCCAAAGGTGTCTCCAGGATTTCCGAGGAGGCCCCACGCACGTCCTCCAGAGCACCAGGGGCTCCAGCATGGAGCGAAAAGCTGGGGGGCACTTTGGGCCAGGGGCACCTTCAGCAACCCCCGCATGGATAACAGTTGTCTTTGATTAGCGTCGCCCTGTCGGAGTTCGAGGCGAGGGCCTTCCGGGCTCTCTTGAGACTCTCTTCGGGCGCTCCTGGGCCGTCTTTTTGCTCCTTTCGGCCGGGCCCCTCTTGGGGCTTTCTTGGGCGATATCGGAGCCATCCTAAGGCCTCATTGGCCAATCGGATGCGAAAAGGCGTGAAGGCCTAAGCGATTGAACACTCAATTGTTTCGTTGAGGGGCTCCCAGGCTACTTGAAGCACTCTCTGGGCCGTTTTGGGGTCTCCTGGGGGCATGCCAGCAGCCATCTTGAGGCACCTTGGATCATCTTGCCCCGTATTGGAGGACATCTTACTGCGTTTGGGGCCACATGGAGCTATCTTGGCCCAACCAAAGTCCTCTCAAGGATGTCCCCGAGAGGCCCCAATCACGAACATTCTTGGATGTTTGATGATTTTGGCTTTGGGGCGAAGGGACTGCACCAACTAGCGTCGGACCGTCTGAGCCAGAACAACTGTCTATCAGACCCCTCCAGGGGCACTCTTTGGGCGCTCTTGGGTGATCTGGGGGTCGTCTTGGGCCTTTTACGGGTCCTTCAAGGGGCTCTTGGACCATCATTCAAATTCAACAGGTTTCGCATGTTGCGGGACTCTCGGGGGTCTCATTGAGAGTGTCTATTGAGTAAGACTTGCGTCTCTGCCGCCGACCTGTCGGGGATGTAAATTCAGCCTTTTTGACAAAAAAAACACATTCAAAAAAGTATCGAACCCAACTCGTTGAACTATCGACCCGGTATGGATGAAATCTTACTCGTGGGTGGGTTTTGCGTGTTCGGGCGGGCCTTGGCGGGTGTTGAGGAGCTGCGGACGATTTGGTCGAACAGTTTGTCAACGTGGTCGCAAGGCGGGTTCCAACATGAGGCGCGGATGGTGGCACGCACTGCCTGCCCGCGCGGGAGCGAGTCGTCGGCCCCCGTCGGTGTCGTCAACGTCGTCTTCGTCGTCGATCGTCGGTCGTCGGTCGTCGTCGTCGTCGTCAGTCGTCGTCGTCGTCGTCGTCGTCGTCGTCGCAGTCGTCGTCTTCGTCGTCGTTTGCGTGGTCGTGGTTGTTCAAGGTCATCGGGCTTAACAGCCTTAAATGTCTTGAGTCCTTCCAGCTTTCAGGTTTTCGGTTTTTCTGGCAAACAACCTGGGAGCCGCCCAAGGGTGGCCCAAGGTCCCCCAGATGTGGCCCAGGATAGGTGCAACGGCTGAAGAAGGCCTGACGTCCTGGTCGGCCCCGGGCCCTGGAGGGGGGTCGGCCCCGGCTGGCCATCCCAGGAGGGGGTCGGGGCCCAGCGGCCCTCCCAGGAGGGGGTTGGCCTCCGGCTGGCGCATCCCAGCCCTGGGCTGGCATATGCCATGGGGGGTGTCGTCTCCTGGCTCGCGCATCCCAGGCCTGGGTCTGGCAGTTGCCCTTGGGGGGAACAGCGAGGTGGGTTTTCACCCCCACAACTAATGACGTTGCAATCGAAGCGAAAGGGTGGTACGACGAGGGCAAGGGTGAAAGCTGATATGCGATGTGACACCCCTCTTGCACTCCGACAGGTCGGCGGATTTGGAGCTGTCTTGTGGTGTTCTTGAGGCCTGTTGGGTATATGTTGGAAGCTTCCTTGACAATCTTGGGCTAACTATCTGGTGGTAACTATCTTGGAGGGTATCTTAAACTATCAGGGGCCCTCCTGGGGGCATCTTGGACGCTGGTCACTTTTCCCCTCCTCCTCCGTCCAGACCTGGGGGATGGAGCAGGGTGATGGGTAAGCCCCTCCCCGCAGGTTGGAGGAGGGTTGGAGGAATGAACTCCCCAAACCACAACGCCCAGAGGGCAAGCTGGAATACATGTTCCTCGTTCCGCCACCAGACGTGTCGGTAGGGCTGGACGGGCGTTCCGCCTGATAATTCCCCACCGCTTATGACGAGATGCCCTGATTACGCAGAACTGGCTATCGCCATGGCGCTGCGCACATTCGTCTGAAACGTTCCCTCGGTAATTGCCAGGATAGAGGGCGGGCTGATTCCAAAATGCTGCTCTCGCTGAACACTGCGCACGTTCGTCTTGGAAGTTCCCAGCAGTGACAAGAATGGAAGGGCGGGTGGTATTCAAAGTGTGGCGATCGCCTTGCCGCTGCGCCCATTCGTCTTGAACATGTTCAGCAGCTACGTACATGGATGGGGGGCCTGTCTTTTTTCAGAACGTGGCTATCGCGTTGCCAACCCTTGCAGTCGTCTTCAAACGCTTCCACCAGTTACAAGGATGAACGGCGGTTCTTTTTCAAATATGTTGGTTGCAGCTTCGCTTAATATTTTCACTGTCTCTGACGGAAAGCCAGCTTAATGCAGCAGTCTCGCGATTGACGCCAATTCTTTTTCAACAGTAGGCGTCTGCTTGAGACAACCATCCTGTGGTTTTGGTTCCTCGTTGTGAAGAGACTGCGCCCCGCGTTCCTTCCTTCCTCCTTCCTTCTTCTCCTCCTCCTCCACCTCCTCCTCCTCCTCCTCCTCCTCCTCCTCCTCCTCCCCTCCTTCTTCCCACCCACGCAGCCCAGGGACAGCGTTTCGTGGCCCCAAATGGAGCTCCACCGAAGGTCCGAGTGGCACAGTTCGCATGCGTCTCCCCCACCCAGTGCAACGCTTCGTGGCCCCATTGGGAGCTCCACCGAAGGTCCCGGTTGGCGCAGTTTGCATGCGTCTCCCCGCCCAGTACAATGCTTCGTGGCCCCAGAGGGAGCTCCACCGAAGGTCCCAGTGGCGCAGCTCGCATGCGCCCCCCCTACACAAAGCAGCGTTTTGTGACCCCACAGGGAGTTGAGGCTCCACCGAAGATCCCAATGGCGCAGATCGCATGCGTCTCCCCCACCACAAACAGCGCTTCGTGGCCCCATAGGGAGCCCCACCGAAGGTCCCAGTGGCGCAGTTCGCATGCGTCTGCCGCAGCCAGTACAACGCTTCGTGGCCCCAGAGGGAGCTCCACCGAAGGTCCCAGTGGCGCAACTCGCATGCGTCGCTCCCATACTGTACAGCGCTTCGTGGCCACATAGGGAGCTCCACCGAAGGTCCCAGTGGCGTAGTTCGCATGCGTCTCCCCCGCTCAGTACAGCGGTTCGTGGCCCCAGAGCGAGCTCTACCGAAGGCGATACCCACAATTGTGGTACCCACACTTACATATGGTTGCGTCCCTCGCCAGGCGAATTCACCAGTGGGCTATTGGTTGTGGTTAGGACCATACGTTTTAGCTTGTCAAGCAGTTACACGGACGTAGGGCGTTGTTTTGTGTTGCAAAGTGGGATCTGCGTTAATCATAATGTTTCATTCCTATTCTCTATGGCAAGAAGGATGCAGACCAGTTCCTTTTCAACCGGATCTTTCGCCTGAGTAACAGGCCCATGATTGTACGTATGGGGCTTGTAGGAGGGGACATTGGACGGAAGGGTGTATTGCAGCATTGCTGATGCATCCTGGATGAATTCTTATGCTTTTCCTCTTCCTTTTCCTCCTTTCCTCCTCCTCCCTCTTCCCTCCTGGTTCTCGTCGCTCCTCCTCCTCCTCCTCCTCCTCCTCCTCCTCCTCCTCCTCTGTCTCCTCCTCCTCCTCCTCCTCCTCCGCATCCGTTCTCGCTATCGTCGCTCCTCATCCCAGTTTCGCAACCCCTCCTCGTCCCGCTCGCGCTCGTCCTTCCTCCCTTTTCCTCCTTCCTCCTCGTCCTCCTCGCTCCTCCTCCCCCCTCTTCCCGGTCCCTATCCCATCCTCGCCCTCGCCTCTCCCTCCTTTCTCCTTGATCCTCCTCGCGCTTTGCTTCTCGTCGCCCTCCTCGCTCCTCCCTCCCCGTCCCCGCCGCTCCTCCCTCCCTTTCCCTCCCCGACGGGGACGAGGAGGGAGGAGAGCGAGGGCGACGAGAAGCGAGGACCGAGGAGGAGCAGGGAGGAGGAAGGACGGGAGGGCGAGGGCGAGGGTGGGATGGGGAAGAGTGGGAGGGAGGAGCGAGGAGGACGAGGATCGCCCTCGCGGCACGGGCGGCGGGAGGAGCGAGGCCAGGCGCCTCCCAGCGGAGGTACCGACCCGCGCGCTGGCGGCGCCGATGGCTGCGGCCTGCGGGGGGGGGAGGGGAAGAGGGAAGGGATGGGGAGGAGGAGGAGGAGGAGGAGGCGGAGGAGGAGGCGGAGGAGGAGAAGGTTCGCGGTGGAAGGTGTCGTTGGGTGTATCGGGAAAACGTCCTGCTCCTTGGCTGGCAGTTCGATGGGTGATTGTGTGTTCTTTCTTGCTTTTAGCCTCATTCCCAGTGCTGTGGAAAGGCGCTTTGCCGCCGCAGGACTGCTTCACGAGCTCCCAGTTGATGCCCTTCTGCTGGGTTTCGGCTGTGGTGGTGATGATGGGCCCACTCCCACTTCCCCCTCTCGCTTCCAGTCTTCCTCCTGCTCTCCCCCCATCGCCTTCCCTTCCGCCCCGGCTCCCTGCCTCCATTTTCCTCCCCCCTCCTCCCTCCCCCTCCGTAAGGCTTGGGCCGGCTGGCTATGTTGACGACTTTGTTCAACCTTTGACCGCGCATGCTTACGACATTGTTGAGAAGATGAAAGCTTGCGCTGGCATATTCATTTTTGTCTCACCATCAAGTCTAATAAAAGTAAGGCTGAGGTCTTGTTCCGCTTTGCTGGTTCACGATCTGTCGAGGCGCGAAAGTCAATGCACCCCTCTCCGCACCACCATCCTGCTGCCGATGCCTTCGCTCCTTTGCACTGACATGTACTGTACCTTATCCGACTGCAGCTATTCGACTTAAGAGTATCGGAAAAGGAGCGAGCCAGCCCGCGCGCGTCGGCCGGCCGGCCGGCCTCCTCACTTCATACATGCTGATTCGGTCCGCTGAGCGGACCTTGCTCGCCATTGTTTCGGCGGAGGCCCGTGATCTTGAGAGAGCAGTGGAGCATCATGCAGGGGTTATCAATATCCAGGCAAAAAGCTGGTAATCAGCCGAAACGACGGCTCAGCCGTTGGCTTCGCTGAACATGGGATCGCCGGAAGGAGCGCTCGGAGAAATAGAACGACAATGCCGTCCCGAACGCCTTATCAAGAAAAGCGCCTCTAGGGGGCGTCCCCTTCTTTCAATCTTGCCAGAAGGCAAGAATTGGAATCTGCGTTTGATTTGACAGAGGGGGATTCCCCTACATATAACCAGATGAAGACAAGAGTTCGAGCGTTAGGCGGAGAGCAAGGATCAGCCAGGGTTTCTGTCGGAAGGCCACCTGCAGTCGCATCAGCGCACTCAAGCCGGATAGTACCAGTCAACACGACCCATGGAGGGGAGAGCTCGCCAGGAAATGTTTCCACCAGCTCAGCGGGTAGAGGGCATCGCGATGAGGGGCAAATGAACAGTTTGCGATGAATGGGCAGGTCGAAGACGAGAGTGATGGACCGCCAGAGGAAGAAAGCTCGCATCCGATGGAAAAGAACGAGGAACCTGCCCAATTCCATACTTCGCCTGGTTCATCATCTCATCTCAGTCCTTTCCAGAACGCATCTGACGGGCTCGCCTCAGGCGTGGACCTGCCAGATACCGAGACAATTGACAGCGCGCCGGCTGAGGACCTTCGGAAGGCGATCCTTGATTCGGATGGCGATCCAGGGGAAGAAAGAAGCTCCGAAAACAGGGGAGTTGGCCATGGAAGGGAGAGCTCATCGGCTCAGCCAATAGAAAACTCGCCCGACGCCGCGCCTCAAGCTCGGCATGCGAGAGAACCGATCGGTGCGATTCCATTCCCGAAGACAAGGAATACCAATAGCGATGCAGATGATCTTAATCCTCCATCGTTGTCGAAGGGCTTCTATCGACAAAGTTTCGCGCCACCGAGGGTTGGCCATGACAGTGCACCAGAGCTTGGCGAGCTAATGATGCAAGACGAGAGGGATGTGCAAACGCAGAGACAACGCGACACTCCTCGGAACCAGGGGTCAAGAACGAGGGGGCAACATGCGCCGACATCCAGCTGGGGCCGCGACGGCTCCAAGAGCCGGACGTTCCAGCTCCAGAGGATTTGACGCCTTCGAGTCACCTCGTCCGTCGTCGCATAGGACCACCAACAGTTTCTCTATCCAGGGCAGCCGCTGGAACGCAGGCCGCAGATGCCCGCCTCAGGCGGGGAATCATTGCCCGGGGAAGGCGCGCGAACCGGGGGGTCCGCGTCGCCGACCCGTATGTGCACAGTGTTCGAAGGTATGTCCGACATGTACCTTATCGAGGCTCTGCAAAGAATGCATTGCGCTGGATGGGGCACAACTGCCGTCGCATCGCCATTCAAGAGTGGAAAGAGAAACAGAAGCAGGATTGAGAGCGACTGAGGGCAGCAAGTGCACAAGTGCAACGTATTCTTCTTCAGGCGCATGCGGATGAGACGGCCGCCGAAGAAGCCGACCGCGAGCTCGCTGAATCCGAGGCAGAGAAGAAGGCAGTGGCAGATGCCGTTGAAAACGAAAATGCCGCAATTGCAGAAGGCGCGCAGGAGCGAATGCTGCGGGCGGGGGCGGGCGCCGCAGGGATTGCGGACGCGGCTCAGCCGCGTCTCGCGCGAGAAGAGGAAGGGCGGCGAAGGATTCAGAGCGCGGCCGGACAAATGGTTTCACTGCCCCAACTGCAGGCCGATAGAGAGCGAGTTTAATTTCAAAAGATAGCTGATGCAGCCAGGCGGGAAGGAGAGAGAGAGAGAGAGAGAGAGAGAGAGAGAGAGAGAGAGAGAGAGAGAGAGAGAGAGAGAGAGAGAGAGAGAGAGAGAGAGAGAGAGAGAGAGAGAGAGAGAGAGAGAGGCGCGAGAGAAGTCAGCGCGAGAAAACCAGGAGCTCCGCAATCAACGCGACGCCGCCAGGCTCGAGGCCGAACAGATAATGCTAGAAGCGGCGCGAACACTCCAGGGGCAGGATCAGAGTGCCCAGGCCCCAAGGCACGACGACCAGAGAAGGATGGCCGAGGCCTGGGGCCGCGCAGAGGGGTGCGCGGATGAGCAGATCAAGAATGATGCACTCGTCAGGCGCGCCGTGAGCGAAGAGAACAGACGCCGAGGGGGGCGCGGAATGCGCCAGGAGCAAAGAGCCCGGGGAACAGGGCGATCCCGTGATGAAGGCAGAACAGTTGAGCATACTCGAAGACCTCCACCGCAACAGCAGTGAGGCAAGTGAGACGGCGCCGAGACACCCGGAGAGATCGGATGAGATCATTTAGAGGCACCAGCAGCAAGTGCAAGAGCTAGAAGATCACAAGGCCGAGCTCGCAGCCATCGGACGAGATATCGCCGCTGCCGGAGCAGATCAGGACATGTTGCGGAACGCAAAGGAACGCACATTACAAAAGGACGCTTGATTGGAACAACAGGCTAGCATTCTCGCCGCGGCCATGGGCATGCCGTCGTTCAAATCGCCGTCGAAATCACGATTCATCCTTGGGCCAGTCGCCGAGAAATCCCATGGCCCGAATGAAGGTTCAATCCGGGGAAGCATTCCAGGATCGAGCCCTGGTAACGTCCAGTATAACAGCAAATTCTCAGGGCCCCCCGACGATTGCGATTTACGCGGCCACCTTCCTATCACCAGCGGCACAGCCGTATCTGGTGGAGGCGGGGGCGGACAGGGAGGCAATTATAATGGCCGAAGGGGCGGGGCACAGCGCCCAGCGCCGGGATGAGTGTGGCGACGCAGTTCGATGGGGCAGGGGGGGCTGAGCCGCCAGGCGACCCTCCGGGGGGGCCTGCCGATGGAGGGGGCCCCGGCGGAGATGGCGGTGGAGGGCCAGACGGCCCCGGCAACCCCGCATTGCAGCCGTGCATGGCCCAGTTTGAGAACCTTTGGGGGTGGCGAGGAGCTTGGCCTCATGAACATCCCAAGTGTCCAGACACCGCGAGAATGGGAACAGCGCTGTATAAGGGCGGCGGCTGGATCTTGGCAAGACGTCAGGGCAGCGCAAATGTGGATCATGGAAGCCATGAGTCCATATATTCCCAAGGAGATCCTCCAGACTGCCAGAGTCTTCATGCGTCTTGATATGGTGATAGCAACGAACCTGCTTGATAGTTTTGCGAACATGAAAGGTACCGTAATTTTTCGGTACAACATATTCATTTCTTCTCGCAAGTCAACCGCGTGGAACATTCAAGTCAGACTGAGGAGCGCCTCCTCACGGGGCGCGAGATGATCCGTGCCATATGCGTCTGGTGTTCGGTCAGATCCGAAAATGGGCAGCATTGGATATTCCATGATCTGTTCAAGATCACAATCGATCGCCGGAAATCGAATCAAGACTTGTACTAATTCTGCAATGAATGGATGGTGCGCTATCAGGAATCATGCGGCGACAGAAAACCTTCGGGCGAAATGAAGGCTTCAATCCATGCGCATTTCTGTGCACAGGACATGCAAGTTTCGAGACTAAGCGGGGTCATCTCCAGTGGTGCGACATATCGACAGACCCTCCCTGGACGGAAATACGTTCCTACCAGTGGCTCTTGTGGCAGGTTGAGTTGCTCTCATGATGTGGGTTCGTGAGCAGCGGGCAGTCTCCGAACGCGAGTCGACCTTTAAGTCTAGACATAGACAGGCTCGCTTTAGCGGCGGGGTGAGTGAGGGTGGCGGGGGCGGACGGTGAGCCTCCGCGCCGGCGGCAACAGCGCGCCGGCGGACGGACCAGAAGCGAGACGACCTGCAGATGCGTCAGGCCAGGAGAGAACTGCCCCGAAGCGGGGCAGGGTTGCCCTTGCAACCGCAAGATGCCCAAGACGCCAGCTGCCCCGGCTCAGCCGGTGACGGGCGGCGCTAACAAACGAGCTGGCGGGGGGAATGGTCGGAGAGGCAGGGGCGAGAAACCAGGAAACAAAGGCCCACCAGGGAAGGGTCGGCTTCGCTCTTCGACTCCGTTGAATAAGTTTGGCAACTCCAATGCAGGACAGCCGCGGACGAGGGGCCAATCCGAGACGTCGCGAGGACGTCAGAGGAAGGTGGTGTCCTATGCCTTCTCGCGAGACCGTCGCAACTGCAAGGGTCCACAGAGCGGATGCTATCAATAGCATCGAGGCTCGGCGGATGCTTAGACAATTAAGCGAGACAGGTACG